CCCCCCCCCTTTAGTCAGACGTTTGATAATGTACGATACAAAAGCTACAAAACAAGAAATTTTTTTTGCATGTCCTTTTAAAATGTTGCAAATTACTAAACAGGAGCTACTGTGAGTGGTTATGCAGAGGGTGCATTCAAGGATGCACACTTTTCTAAGATAACCACCTACCATACTGAAAAATTCTAGCGTCATCTGTAGCATCAAGCCCTAACTCACAGAATCAGGAGAAAGTTTAATTACTGACATTTGTTAATGAGTCTGTCTTTGTGGCCTACGTAGATACCATACCTTGTATCAACTGTGTGCTGTTATTTGTCAGAGCTCAAATCTTCGCAATTCACAGTACACAGTAAAAAATCAGATTGACAAAATCAGATCCTCCAGTCAGATGTCCACACTGAAGTTTGATTCTTTAATGCGACTTCCTGCTCCCCCCTCTGTAGTGTGCTACCTCACTTCTTATAGACTCCTCTGAACTGTTTTGGCTGTCAGCTTTATGCGAAAAAGATCACGTCTCTCCCTGGAGGTGGATGAATAGATGGAAATCTGGATGAATGTGAACGCTGGGATGATTTTAACAGATGGGATGAGGAGCAACCCTGGAGCATAATAAAGGTAGGAAGAACCTAAGTAAAGACCAGACACAATACAAAACCCACATTAGCATTTTGATCCATTCTTTTTTTTTTATTTTCTGATTTTTCCATCACAAAAGCCCGGAGGACTTTTTAAAAATCCAGCTGAAGGCTCTAAAAGCTTATTTATTGAAAAATAATCTTGTGCCCTTTATCTTTGTCCTCTCTTCTCCTCTTTCGTTTTCTGACCAGAGATGATTGCATTGAGTGATGTTACCTCAGACTTGGGTTTCAGTCTGATAAATTATTCTGTCCATCACAGGAGGAGGGGAGAAAAAGCTGGGGAGATAACCTGGTTGTCCATCATCCTTTGTCCATGTGCAGAGAGGAGATTGAATATTGACCTGAGGTTGCCTTCTCCAAGCCAAGATATTTGAAGACTTTGTCATGGAATGACAGTGTAGTCCCAATACTCTGCAGTCACATGCTTTTAAAGGGTATATTTTTCAACTGAAACCCCTTATTTTGGTGGAATACAATTCCAAAAAAATGAAATGTTGTGTATAATATCATCAGTCAGCATCTTGCAGAAACTATTATCCTGTACGTTTTTGTGAAAGTCTTTCAGCTTTGTGAGCGTTAACCCAGTCTCTGGACACTTGGAACCACTCGAATGCTATTTTAAAAAGGTTGTGGGTACTTTGAACATGTAACATATGTGAACCATTCGCAGAGCACCTCCTGTGCCACTTAAACCTTTCTAATTAATGTAAATTGCCTCCCGAGGTGTTAGAACAACATTTAAGTGCTGCGTGTGCTCTGCAGAGATCTGCTCTGCATTTGCAAAAATAGGCAAGTGCTCTATTTATAATTATTAAGGTTGATGCGTGCGGTCCTTTAGCACAGAAGAGAGTCATACACTGTTTTTTTTTTATTTAAATGAAACTACTGGTTATAACTTCTTTTGCCAGGACCAGCTGGCGTTTGTTTACTTATACCTTAAAAGGGGCGCGTGTAGTCTGTGGATGTTAATTACTCATATCACAGAAACTGTGAAAAGCTGTAAGTTTCACAGCACTGTGCTAAAAAATGAAGGCAACACAATCCCAAGAATGAAAGCTCAGTGTTTTGCTTGCTTTGCCTGTGAGTCACTCTGCTGCAGGTGAGCTGCAGGTGTAGCCAGTAAAAGATGCATTTCATGGCACATCTGCTTCTTGAACGGTCCACATGTTATGTGTTCAGTGTAGCCAAAGTGTCTCCAGTCTGTTGCAGTATAACATCTGTTATAACAACTACAGTCATCAAATATCCTCTGATACAACCCAGGCTCAGTTCCGGTGTAAACTCTTTAAATCCATGCATGCTTCTTCGTCACGAGCCTACATTTACTTTTCGAGAGAGGCTGGCTCTCTGCAACACCAGGTGATATGTCCCAGCTCTACACTTTCTTCTTTTTCTCTTTGTCCATGTCTTTTCTGTCTGTCCTTCACGTGTTCTGTCATTATAGACAGTCTCTGCACAGCGCCACCTGCCCATGGCGGAAGTCCCTGCAGGGGCAAAGACGTCTGTATTTAGGGGAGTGTCCTGCACAGCTGAAGAGTAGCGGTTCCCTCTGAAGGCCACACTCCTGCCGCACCACCGAGAAGGCTGGCAAGATGTGGTTAATCTCAGAGTCTACAACTTCACACTGTACGTCCAACCTGAGGAGTGAAAAGAGCAGCAGAAATCTAAAAAAAGAGATCACTGAGATTTATCAAGAAGAAAAGACGAATAATAAAATTCACAGTTTCATCTCAGACATGTAACAGGAAAGTGGAACTGGCATTAACCTGAAAATAAACGGGGAGCAGAAACAAGGAATGGAAACGAGTTCACCACTTTAATCACAGACGAACGAACGGGAGGAACTCAAGTGAATAAGCTTCGGGGAAGATGGAAAAAACTATGGAGCAGGTATGAGACATCAGCATGAAAAGAGAAAGAGAAACAAAGAGGAGAGGCACTGTAAACCAAGACAGATAGAAAAACAACAGAAACAGAAAAATACTCGAAGGATGAAGTAAGAGCAGAGAAAATGAGTTAAGGCTGAAAGCAGTCAGGTGGGAAATGCTCGAAGGAGAGGCTCAACTGCTGACAGGATTTCTGTCTTGGAGCTTGAGAAAAGGAGATGTCTGAAAGTGAAGTTTCTGGATCAGCAGCCATGGGCTGGTACAGTAAACTAAATAAATATCAGTCATACTAAGGTCAGAGACGGCCTAAACTGTACTTAGCGTCAATCTTCAGTTTAAATAGAACGCTTTGAACTCTTAATCATTTCCAAAAATCCAATTTGTTATGTTAAAACTTGTACAATAGAACCTTTTTTCATTTTGGCTGGTTCAGTGGTTTCACAGCCTGCAATCAGAACCACCATCCTTCAAAACCACAGCTACAGATATTATTGCATGGAGTCTTTTAGATCACTCGTCTTTGTTTAAATTTGTGTGATGTACACAAAGATTGCTTGGTTGTTTCAAATTCTCCTTTTAATTTAATTTAGACATGACAGTGTTTCTACCACAGATGGTACTCCTCAGGTAACGCTGACAACGTGTGATGAGGTGTTGCTTGGTAAGTTGTAGGAGTGGAGTGTTTGATGAGCAAAGCTTGATAGTTGGGACTAAACACTTAATTAAAGCCTCGCTAGCAGGCAGTTTGTACTCTCGGCTGACCTACCTGCGCAGAGCCTCCTTGTTGTTGATGAAGCGAAAGTGAGCGGGTTCACAGATGAAACCAGCTGACTGGCAGGCGTCCACACAAGACTGGCCCTCTTGAGATACAAGCAGCCTGAGGGAGCTGAGAGGAGGCCAGGCAGAGGGAGCTGTCACATTGGATGCCCAGCCAAGAGCTGTAGTGTTGGGCAGGGGCACAAACAGAGGTCCCATCATCCTGCTGCCACCAGCAGACCCCTTTCTGGAGAGGTTGGCTGGAATGAAGGGAGGCTCTGGGGCACAGAAATCCTGGAGGTGAAATAAATACAATAATTTTTAAAATCAAATAATTGTAGAACTGTAAAATATTACCAGACTAAATAAACCTGAATGAGTTATTGCCTTTACAGTAAAGTAAAGTGGCACCAGGTAAGTTATAAGGCGCTGCTCCACTATCACAGTTACAGGCTATATCCAATGATGTAAGAAACTTTCATACAAGCTGCTTTTACCTAACGGCTGTACTCGAAAATGTGTCGACAACAAGAGCATAGAACCAGCTGCTTCTCAGGAGAACAGCAGCAACAGCTTCAGTCCTACACAAGATGCCTTAAGTACTGAGTGTAGGTCACTCAATTCTGTGCCTTAAGGCATCCAAGCATGTGCATTTGTCAAGTGCAACACACACTCACTGTAGTTATCTGCAGTTATGCTGGTAAAATGAAAGCAAACAGACTTGAGGAGAACATGCACAGAGCACATGCTAATGCAGAGTTCTGCTTCTCAGAAGACACATTAATATTTTATACCGATGGAGAGAAAGATGTTAAAAGATATTCACTCAAATGTTATTTCTAATTTTAAAGCACATGTGCAGTTGTGGCTTGGGAAGTTGCTCCAAATCAAAATATGGTTGTTTCTGATTAACGTAAGTTTAACAACAATAAGCACAGTGATCCAAGCATGTAGAGTTATAGTTAAATGCAAATGGCAATTTTACATTTAAAAAAGGTGTTTTGAAAAAAATCATAAATATAAAAATATGATAAAACCTGTAACATGTGGAAAATGTGACAAAATCATGACGCTGCTCCAGATCAGAGTATTACTATTGCCAAAGGCTTTGTTTTCTACATTATACTAAGTGAAACATTAGAGAGTGTCAAGGGTGGGATAACGCCAGCTGAAAGTGTTACTGAAGCCTGTAACAAGGTGATGTTCTGACAAATGAGTATTCATGAAGTACTCAGACCCCATCCATCTTTGAACTCTGCCTTCATTTGCAGCTCAGCTACACACATTTAAATTTGTGTGACTGCAGCACAGCGTTCAAGCTATCACCCTGACAAAATCTGTCCCGACAGGAAGACAGAAACACCTGCCGAGCAAAAATAAAAACTTGTGGTAGTTCCTGTTAAAGTAGATCTCTTCAGGATCACATCTGGCCACGGTGACATTCAGAAACACACAGGGAGACTCGAATCACAAGGCAAAGGCTATGCTATGCTACTGCAAACCAGCTGCAGGAAGCGGTTCCTTTAGAAAATCCAATTTGAACAGAAATGTAATTTAATGTTCTCCTGTTAGTCTTTCAACAGCTTTCTGGGTCCAAAACAAGCTGCAAGTCAGGGGTGAATAAAAGTCACTGAGAGAGCTTCTGTGGTTTGTCTAACATCTTGTGGGGGGCTATAAAAAAGTGCTTTTATCCTAGTCCTTCATCATCATTATTCCCACACTTGTGTTCTTTTTCCTTACTCATCCCTCCTCATTAGTGTCAGGAGACCTTCTGCTTTAAAGCCGGAGGGCAGATATGTGGCTCCTAATGAGAGTTAGCATGTCGATTAATCGCATGCCCACATACATGGGGTACATAATCTCACACGCACACACACACAGTCCTAGATACACGACGTCCTAGGTGCTGAATGCACACAGGCGTGAAATATTAAGCAGTGTAAGGGTTCTGAAAGCTTCAAAAAAGAAGGTATATAAATGAGAGCAAGAGCTGACTGAAGACAAAAGAAAAGGAGAGTATAGGCGAAGCGCATATGTGCAGACATTGAACTGTAGACATTTGTAGCGACACTCACCTGATGCTGTATGTATGCATGCACTCTCTCGAGCATGCCCTCGCAGGTGTATTCATAAGGCAGATAAGGCTCGACCTGAGAATCACACATGAAAACACACAATCATCACCACGTTATTATTGCCACATTTTACTCGCAGTAAAGTGTACTTTTCGTTTTCCTTCCGCATCATTGTTCTCAGTAATTGCAATGAATTGTCTCTTCTCCTTGGTAATTTGAGCTGACGAATGTTTCTATTGTCAGGTTTCTGCGAGGCCTAATCACAGTATGTCACTGCTTGGAAAATCATTAGGCTTTATTTGCATACCAATAGATCATCTCCTCCTTTGATGTGCTGGTTCTATAACTAAAGCACACTTTTGATTGCTCTAATTAGAGATGAGCTGGAAACACCATATATCTTTTGTGTCTCTTGCTAATACCAACATGTTCAATACTTGTTAACAGACTGTCTGACACAAAAGCCGATGAATACGAAATAGTTGCAACTGCAGTGCTGGGATTAATAAAAAATGAATTTAGCAGATTTCATAAAGTGCTAGACTGCTGATATTCAACAGCCACACTGTACAAAGACACAAGTTCGGGTTTTATATGAACTAAAATGATCCTGTTACACACTCCAACCAAATGAAAACACATTTTTGTATTTCTAACTGCAAACACCAAGCTTTGCAGAGATCGAAGTGGATTGTCTTTATGACCTAATGCAAAGACCTGCCTTTGTAAATGATACATGACTCACTAAATTGCATTTCCTATGTGAAATCAAAGCAGTCTAATGTTCAACCATCTGTGAAATCAGACTTGGCCCATTTCAAGTGAAAACCACTGAGAAGCAAACATGCAGGGATGGTGCAATTTAAAAAGCTACACACTGCAATCTGATCAAAGCCTTATGCTAATCTACTTTATAAGCAGGAGCAGAAAGCAAACATTTGAACAAGGACAGGCACACAAGCGTCCTGCAAAAACAATCAATGGACGTGTCCTTTTTCTAACAGCGTTCTCATTCGCCTTTGCTTAACCAGGCATAGTGACCCAGGCCACGTTCGCATTCACAGGTGCGGCTTTGAGTGGAGCTTTTTGAAAAGGTGCTGGCAACACTGGCAGCGGGTGGAAGCAAAGGTTTCAGGTGTATGAAGGCATTTAGCACTGTTTTGCTCTATTTTTTATTTTTATCACATTTGTGTAGTTTAGACTTGTGACCTTCTCTTCTTTAAGTCCTTTCTCTTATCCTTGGCTGATGTAGACTTCACTCAGAAATCAAATAGAATGAAAATCCCATTTGCATGGTTCGCTAACTGAGAAGATCTATATGATTTTCTTGGGTGTTGTTGTTGGTCTCATAAATCATCCTATCTCCAAATTCTTTTAAAATATGTGTTTAACAAAACCTTCTAACCAACTAGAGTCCAGAAAGCTGTGTTATTGTTTTTTTTTTAGCAGTTTTGACAATCACCCCTTTGTGGTTGTATACCTCCACCAATCAGTAAAGTTGGAGAAGTTGGATCCTTTATTCAGATTTGGACAAATGTGAAATATTGCGACGATGGAAGTAATCACTTGAAATGAAGGGAACTGGTCTTCTTTTTGGTTTATGAAGGCATTTCACCTCTTGTCCAAGAGGATTTTTTCAGCTCTGAAAACTAATGGGGAGTGCCAGATATTTAACCTGTAGTGGGGCTGTCCCCTTGGAAACATCCCAATAATAGTATGAGTAGTAGTTGGGTGATACTAGGGTAGTATCATCTAACACCTTCATGACCCCAAATTAATCCAGTTGCCTTTATTTCAAGCCATTAAGACTACCATGAACTAGATGCCTGAGAACCTACGCAGACCTGTCACAATCAACCTACTTCTGTTTCTGAGTTTGGCATTGAATAATGATCAGGCATCATATCATCATTTTATCATAACAAGTATGGCCAAAATTTTGTTATATGGTCAGAGTGACCTTGACTTTTGCCCACCCTATTAAGACTACTTCATGTGAATGTTAAAAAACCACATTTAAAACGCCAATTCCCATAAGACATGGAACAGGGAATAAGAAAAGAAAGAAAGAAAGAACGAAAGAAAGAGATGGAAAAGGGTTTTATTTGAACATGAGGACTTGTCGGCCAGAGATTGCTTTGTCTTGCATGACTGAACATGAGCCTCTGCCTCACACACGGTTTGTGTATGCCTGCGTGTGCCTTGAATTTAATGGCTGTAATGTGCAGGTGAGGCTGTGTGTACTGATACGTCGCATCTTTCCAATTTCAGTGTATGAGTTGTGTTTATGTGTTTGTTTGGGTGCTGGGGGTGGTGTGTGTATATGTTGTATGGGTATGTGTGAGTTTGCTCGGGGCATTGTGCCTCCAGTGAAGGGTGAAGTGGTCCATCAGCGCTTTCTCCGTGGTTTGTCAGTGCAGATGGAGAAGGCACACTAAGCCAGTGTTGCTGAACTGTAGCTTGTCTGACTACGCAGACGAAAAGATGAGAACAGCCTCTCTCACACTCACACACACACTGACAAACACACACACAGAGCTAACACTACATATATCAGCTTTTGCCTAATCTCCCTACATACCATCTCTAATCTGCAAAGGGCAGACTGCTACAGCATGTTTAAAGGATCATGCAGACAGCTGTCTCCATGTTTCCTGCTTCCCTATAGACCGATGCCTTGTGTTACTGTGACTCATATTCCATATGTAAAATATGTTGCATGTCTTGTGGGATGATGTGTGTTCACACCTATGTTAAATGCCAAAAGCGTTATACCTCAGCCATAAATGTATCCAGATCCATCAGATTTCCATCAGATTTGACAATACATTTAAATATACCTTAGCGTATGCAGAACAAAATGACCATTTATAAATTCAAGAGGTCAGTTTTTGGGATGCCAAAATGGTTAGGATGGTCAATTCTCTAGAAATTCGAATCTGCGTGAAAACTAGTGAATCACAGCTTCACCTCTCCGAGTGTAAAATGCATCTGCAGTTTTGAACTTCAATAAACATTATTTAGTTTCAGATATAAAAGGTCTACCCCTGTATTTTAGAGTAGAAAATATGCCTGCTTGGCATATTGGATTTCTGTTTTATAAAGATTTTGTGACTGTGCAGATGCTTGGTCAGTGTACTCTCCATCTTTCAATTTTTCTGCTCATATAATTCATTTTTTTCAACATTGCACCCAATTTCAATGCTTTCTAAAAAGATTCAGTGTACCTGGCTGACTCTTTAATTAACCCTGCTCCCTCTCTCGGAAGCTAGCATCCTTAATCTATATCACATTCACCGAATTGAAAAGTTCAGCACTCTGCAGTATAACTCTGCTACCTACAGACGGCAAACTCCCACTGGAGGACTTGACCACAGTAAAATTATTGTGCTGTTTCATCAAAGTTTAAAAAACTGTTATTAGGCTCACAGCAACAAGAGCAGGTCCAGTACTTGTATTTTATCACAGCTTCAAGGGAAAACAGAATAGAACAAACCGTGCTATCTGTAACTCTAAGAGTTATCATTGAACGCTATACAAAAATGAAACGTTATATTACAAGAGCCAAACAAGGCACAAACCAGCTGCAATTTTCCTGGCCACAAAGGCACAAAAGCAATAGGTGGATAAGTACATGTAGCTATTCTTGGCATGTCTATGAAAACATGTTTGTTAAAACAGAAAGAAACACCAGAGATGTCCCTCTTTCAGCATGAAGAGAGCTGATATGAGTGAAAGAGCACCCAGTCACGGTTAACCTCATTTATACACAGCAATGCATAATTTAACTCAGTGTAACTAATTAGTGGACATAACAGGATAAATGGTTATGTCTTTTGTCTTTATGAATTCTTTTTTAAAGCACTGTTATATGTGAGCACCTTGGTCCTCATGATTTCCTTGATAGCAGAGTCAAACTCCACAGAGTTGTTGTAGTCCACTGTCATGACGTGAGGTCGGCCAATGTACTGCTCCGCGTACGGGTGCTGGGAGAATACCTATAGAAAACAAATGCAGTGTACACAGTGACAGCTCTATAAATAAATATTTTGCAAATAAATAACATCTCTCCACAAAGACAACACTTAGCTGCAGAAAAATCAGTTTGTCTTTATCAAATCAATACTGTCAATTATTATTTTGTACAAAGACACATAAAAATAGTTATACTGTGTCCATTAGTGTGGCAAAAATGCAGTCTGGATCGAATGTTTGAGCCACTGCTTTAATGAATCTGTTGGCAGCATGACTGATTGTGGGAAGATATACAAATTATGAACCTACCTCTCTAGATGTGGGCTTGCCTCGGAAAAACTCGTGATTTAGTGAGCTGTGGGGTGGGTTGAACTTGGGCTGGAGGAAAATGCAACCATTGGCTATAGCTTCAAGAGGGGCCGGGCCCTCGTATGGGAAACCAAAACCAATGAAGAGCTAGGAGAAAAAAAAAAGATAAATCAGGGATGCAATTTAGTGATTGTGTAATTTAAAAGCAGAAGAATTTAGTTTAGAAGTTAGAAAAGCAGAAGAAAAGTTTGTAAACACTCTGTCCATTAAACAGTGGTGACAATAACCACAAAGTTCATGCCTTGGCCTTCCGCAATAATTGCTGCAGCTCGTGCTGGGGCAGCAGGCCGTGGTTCTTCACAAAGGCTGGGACCTCTGGAGGTCTCTGGGTCTCATAGTAGACTGTGCCGTGGACTTCCATGTATTTATGGAGAATCTGGAGGAAACTCTCTTTACCCTGCTGGAAGAAGATGGTTTGGTGAGACTGATGAACTGCGATGACACATAGATGGGTCGTATAGAAGAAAGAGTGTGTAATAGGAAGAACACCATAAATATTTTTTTTAAAAATGGTGACCTATCTTTTTTCTTATAATAATAAATATATAGTTAGAGTGTGGGACTGTCATATTAAATTTAGCTGAAGTTTGATATAATGAGGTCAAAATCCGTACTAGTAATCTTTCAAAGACAAAAGCTCAGGCTTCAGACTTCTTTAAATGCTCCATTTCAGGCAGTTTTTTCTCTAATCTTGGCTCTGTATGATGTCGGTCAGTGCATCTGTTCCAAATAACTAAGGCGCACAGCCCTGGCTGTAAACACAGAAGCCCCAGAAGAAAGCTGGATTGAAGGAGGGACTGCAAAGGGAGCTAAAAAGGCTTTCAGGTACCAGTTTAGCTCACTGGTTGAGCAGGTGACCATATGCCACATAAGTGAAATGCAGCAGCCCAGGTTTCAGTCAAACCTACAGGCCTTTGGTTAGAGTCTTTCCCAGCTCTCAACATTTCTGTCAAATCTACAGTGCTTAACTATCCAATGAAAGCAAAAATGTCCCCCCATCCCAAAAAGGCTTGTTTCACACAGTGGATAAAGTGGCTGCACCAAGGCCAAGAATCCAAGAGTACAAATATGAAGGTAGAAATGAGCATCATAGGTCCTCTTTAAAGAACTTGCTCCACTACAGTGTGCTGAATATTTTCACGTCTTCTAACTTATCTGTGTGAATTTGCGTGAGCTACGGGAAGCTTATTCATATGTCATTTTATAAAGCATATGGAAATAGATTATGCTCACATTATTGGTTCTTCTAATCACTATCCGTGCTTTTCAGTCACCTGACCGACTCACTACCCTGGTGGGCAAAACATTATGGACAATAGTAGACAGTCTGCAGTACTGCAGGACAGTGTTGGAAAGTGTTGCTTTTTTTCCATCTGTCTTGAGCCAAGACTACTTGGATCATCCATCAATGGAGGAAAAAGAAGATAGGAGGTAAAATTTGTGATCCATATTTTGCCCAGGCAGCTCGGTGACATCTACGTATATCTTGTACCGAATCCCTTACCTTACACTGATGCCAGGATGAACGCTTTAAGAGTACAAACAGCTACATGTATTTTCGATCTGGATGGGTGAATAATGCCACTGTGTGAAAGCTGAAGAACAAGAAATAGTTCATTGTTAAAGCAAAAGTAAGTGCTATATAGTGCGTTTTGGTGACTTTTACAGTGTAGGGCTAGAAAACTTCTGTCTGTCACACTAATATTGTATCATAAGTGTAAAGCTGTGCGAATATTTTTCCAATGTCAGGTAAATCATTTCTACAGTTTAAATGAGCCATCCGATAGCACAACAACTATGCAGCATTTTGGCTAAATTAAACTGAAAAACGTTCAAAGGATGGATGAAGGACAAAGACCACAGTACTGTTTTTGTTGCCAGGTGGGCGTGTCCCAGTAGCTCTTATGGGCTCTTTGATTTCCTACTTTTTCTACAGGGGTTAAAAGGTGCAGTCTAGTCCTTTTTTACTCAGTGAAACAAACACAGGGCCGTTAGTTTCATTTGGTTGAATTCTTACTTTCACCTATGAAAAATGCACCAATATACACACCGAATATTAACATGTAGAGGAAAATTGCCTTCTTTTTAACCAGGAATAATTTTTGAGTTCTGCACTCCACTCATCCTATTACCTGCTGTGAAGTTTTCTTCACCTTTAATTAATATCGAGCTTGATGTGAGAAAGATGAATTTTGATTTGCAAAACAAAATAAAACAAAGAAAAAAAAGAAAAAAAAAAGAAAAGAAATGAACAATTCTTAATAAAAATAAAATAAAATGTCAGTAAACTCTGTGGAGAAACATCTGGCAGGCAGGTATTTATTTTGCTGCGCTGAGGCTTGGTTTTAAGCAGGATAAAGCATTGATTGTCCTTATTCACTTACTTACACTTACTTGTACATACTTCTCTCCTTTTTTAATCTAATAATAAATACATTACATGCTGAGGGTGAGACAGCCAGAAGGGCAGTCAAGGTTCAGCAGGACGACTGGGAGAAAAAACAGCTAGCATCAGTTAACAACCAAAATTTAATCATGTGAACGGTGCATAACCCCGACTAGAGTATTGACCGCCTGGCGTTAAGCAGCTTACATTATCCCTCTGCTGTGGCCCCCCTCCCGCGCACACAGAGCCATAATTGGAGGCTGTAGTAATCGATAGCTTCCTCTGTGAGGATTTTCCCAGCCAATTAGGAGATTAGCTCAAGCGCTAAGTGCAGCAGACAACGACAATGAATTAGCAAGAGAAACACAGATGTGAAAGAGTGCAGATTCCATAACCTGCGCTCTCGCTTTGTGACTATGTATGTACAAGCTAACCGTCTCAGCAGGGAATGGATTAGGAATGCTAATAAATATCTGTTGTGCTGGTTTTTTTGTCCCTTAGCTAATTTGGTTTTATAAAGATTAAAAAAAAGAAGTTTGTGTGTATATATAATGTTGATTTCTGTGCGCACAGCATGACAGAAAGACATATGTTTTTTGTTTATAGTACTTTCATACACATTTTTTTTCATATACAGCACCATGTATTTAAACAGTTACCTGTATGCTGATGGAATTGTAAAGTCAGTATTTTATTATTCATCTCTTTTGGTTCCTTAACTTAAGTATTTCCATAGTATCTTCAATCTCTTCATGTAAAATTAAACCAAATTTTTAGAACTATTTAATGTTATCTTACATAACCTTAACTGTAGTTTCCAAACTCCATGACAACTATACAGGGGGTGAATTTTCAAACTCATTAGCTTTAATTGTATTGAGGTTTAAAGTTGCAGCAAGACTGTTTTGCCTTGTTCAGCATTCTGTTGTTCTCCACGGGGTGGGAAGCTGCGCCGTACAAGTACAATATGTTTTAAACCAATTTTTCGAGAGCCAAAATTAGCATCCCCTTCCTCTCCAGTACCACAATGAATGATGGATGCACCAAGCTAACCAGCAGAGAAATGATATGCAGCAGCATGACCGGTCAGGAGTCGCACCTGTCTCTCATGTTGTATGCATCTTAACAAAGTTTGTCTATTCCTAGACATGGAAACAATGCAACATTACTCTCCTTTTTTTTCACTCTCCTGCATAAGTGTAGGATGTGAGATGAATATAAATTGGTAAAAGTAACACATTCTTACCTGAAGCTAATGAACACCCATCCGGTGACAAGGTCCCCCACAAGGGAAAAAAAAGAGTGACACAAAGACAAAGAGAGTAAAGTAAATTGAGGCAGAATTGTAGCCAAACAAGGCTGCAATAATTGGTAGAAACAGCTATGTGTTACATTTACTTCCTTCCTCATCAAACTGTTGCAGACTGTGCATTCATAACTGCCTTTAAGCCCATCTCTCTCACAGCCAACAACCATAAACTAATCTGGGGACTTGTGTGGGCAGACAGTAGAAAGAAATGGCAGCAAACAATGTTTTAAAAATCCTTTTAAAAATGCAGACAACTTTTTCTCAGCTACATTGAGCATATGAACAAGCAGACAGTTTTGGAGAGGAAAATTGCCTGTAAATTGAAGCTATACAGTTGTGTATAAAGAGCCCTATGAAGCAAACTAATGATGCAAGCAGCTTGGTGCCTTTCTTCTGTTAACATTTCAGTCGATGGTTTAGCGTACTTGGTTTAAAGATTGTGTCTGCATACATGCAGGCTGAAAGACAACTGGGCTGTAGTGACAATCTTTCTGCATATACAATGCAACTATTGTGCACTGCAGTATCTCTGGCAGCCTCACATTTTGTTTCTGCAATGTGAGTATGAACGCAAAATACACAACTACAACCATGAAGAACAAGCTTGAGTGGCTAACAGAAGTCTCCAACAGATGTTATGCATCCTTTGAGCAATGATGTAAAAAACAAACTAACTAAAGCACGCAGTCTGAGACTGCAAAGAGACATACAATCAACGGAGGAAGCCTTACTCCACAAAAACAGTTCTCCAAGATGCTGAGAACAACCCATCTGCTATAAAAGTACCATGAAAAATTTGTAGAAACAACACCTACTGTATAAGAGAAGTAGTGCTGTAAAGCTAAAGGTTACTTACACCTGATTTCATTTTGTTTTTTTCTCTTTAGTGCACAATGTATGGAGTTAATCTATGAAAAATGAATGATCCTCATTTTACTCTTGGTGTATACAATATGAGATGTTTATGAGCTTATTAAGTGTATTGTACAGGTGTAAACATGTATGTATGTACCTACGAGAATATGCTTGGATACATTATATCTACTGATAATTCTAACAGTATTACATGTTATTTTATTATTATAAAAACTAGGCCTCCAAATAATTACTCGTCTTCTTCCATGGAGTCATTAGCGGTTACCACTACACACAGAATTCACTAAAACAGAGTTACACTGACTGACTGCCATCTGTGTGGGTAAATTGTTGTCTGTACCTTCCACATGCTGGCTTCTTTCCCATACACTACAGCCATGTTGTTGACTTTGTTCTGTTGGATGCTCCTCTTCTCCGTCTCATTCAGCTCCTCCGAAACAAAGCCCATGAATGAGTTGTCTGGTGTGTGAGCTGAATGTATTTGTGTGTGTGAGTATGTGTGAGCAGCACAGAAAGGTAGGATATTAGTAGATGGAGAGAAAACAAAAGACAAAGAGAAAAAGAGAGATAGGAAGAAAGTTAGTAAGTAAGTGAACGAGACAGGAAAAAGTACTTTTGAAGGGTTTAGTCAGCATGTGTATGGACTCTCTAAGCATTATTAATAGCGATTGTCATAAAGCCAGCTGCTGTTAATGGTAATTGTCTGAGCTGTTTAGTATGGGAATATATGTAATATTTTTTAAGTACTCGCTGTGAGTTCAGGTATTTCTGATGATCACAACCACCCATGTTCAATCCACGGTTCCAAAGCTACGAGCTCTTATAAAATCTTTTTTTTTAGCACAGCACATTTTTATGCACTGAAGAACTCTAATAATTGGCCAGTAATGCTGCTCTCTCACAAGCGTTGCTAGAGGTTGAATCTGTCATTATAGCTTTGGACAGTGTGAAACGTGGCCGTCCACAGTGGGCCACATATTGATGATATAATGACAATGATCTTACAGCCGAGTGCCAGCTGTAGCTAAACAGGTACGACACTGCAGAGAGTTGAACTGTGGAAGCAGAACAGAGCTGATTCTCAGTGTTTCAGTCAGAAAGTGACGAGACAGGCGGCAAGGAGAGCTTTGAAAAAGCAGATCAGACATATTGTGTAGCATATAAGAGAACCGGAAAAACTGGAGATAACGCTCCGAAACAACTTGAAGGGATGCTAGAAGCTGCTGTTGCTGAAAATAGCCGTGTTAAACACATTGCTCCAAATTAAAATGAACAAGCAGTCAGACCTGTCAGAAAAGTGAAAACACTGAAATGGAGTCATTTTATTATATTTAGAATGAATGTCAACTAATGACAGGCCTTTGAATGTGTGTCTGTGCATGTATGCATGCAAGCTGGAGGTACAAAAACACCAATTCTCAAGCTGATGGTGTATTCTACATATGATATAAAAGTTAACAATAATAATAATAATAATAATAATAATATAGTACATACGGAACATAGTCATGTACTGCCTTGCATTGAGGTTCCAGTAGCCCCAGTTGGTCCGGTAGCCATGCAGAGTTGCATACTCCTCGTGATTATAAGCAGGCTCCGTGCCAAAGGTGTCAATCACTCGAATATGACACCTGCAAAGAAAATGACAGACTCAGTTCATGTGTAATCCTGTACTACATTATTAAAAAAACCCCACAAAAAATAATTAAAATGTCAGTATATTTTACTTCAAATGGTCCATGAGTTGTTGGCGGCTGTTAAAATGTGCCTCTTTGTCATTTCAAGTCAGTAAATTTCTGAATTTGCTTTAACCATTATTTAATTTGTAACATAACGTTTTCTAATGTGAAGCAGGATAGCAGGACGATTTCTTGTCTGATCTTGGTGACGTCTAATAAGAGTGCGCTCTGGATCATTTGTAGTATCCAGACTGAAGTTTGTTGGTGAATACGTCACAAGTCTTTCTGGTTTTCCATCTTTGGCAAAAGTCTTACTGGCACTAGCTGACAGCCATAGATGAGCAATCAAAAGTTTACACACGAAATCACCTGGATTGCCTAGCTAAAGCTACTTTCGGCTGCTTGCTTGCCACAAGGGGTCAGCAGAGTGGGTAGTGTCACATGTTTGATTTAGTAGTTTTTACACCAGATGCCCTTTGTGATGCAACCCAAAAGGGGATTTGCATCTCCAGCTGGAATCAAACCAGCAACCTTTCACTTGCCAAGTAAATGTGGTAACAGTTACACCACTGGAGGCACTAATTGCAGCGTCTAACTAAAAAAATATAAAATATATTAACCCAATTCTAAAGGGTTCTATAAACCATACTTCATGTTCAATACATGCACAATTATATATTTAAATGCATTTGTGCAGCAGGTCATTCAGGTGGAATGCCACATTAGAGTACAAGGCCATCAGGTTTCTCAAAAGTGAAAGGAGAACAACAAGAAGCTGCCACTGGAGATGCAGATAAATAACCAAAATAACATAAGCAACCAGCAGTGTGGCAAGTTTGACATAAAAATGACAAAAAAACAATTTTTAGAGGTCGGAGGTGCGATGAGCTGCTGATAGAGTTTCCAGGTGGATGCTTCGTGGCAAAGCAGTGAAGCATAACTGAGGTTCATAACAGAATCATTCACCACAGACAGACGCGCACGCAGACGCAGAGCTCACTGTGCCCTTGTTTGCGACTGTGTTAAATCTGGCCAGTATGTGGACTCAGGGGGGATTAGAGAGAGCTAAAGGAGCAGAGTCCACTTCCTCAGCTCTGAGTCTTTCCTGGCAGATAACCGCGTGTCTGAGTGTGTAAAAGAGACAGATATGGGGTAATAAAAACATTCTGCATCTGGAGAGCAATTAGAAGGCAAATATTACATCAGTTAAAAAAAAAAAAAAGCTAAACTATTTCCAGACACGTGACTCTTCTTGTAGCCGTACACATGTAATGATTTTCAGATGCCAGCATTTGTGCATTACGATTTTATTTCAGCTTTGGTTCAGCTTTGTGATCTTATTTGCTTTTCAGAAACTGCAACAAGTTTGTGTTTGCAGTAAAACCCAGCCTGCCAGCTCCTTTCATTTGGCCATTGCCTTTCACATCTTAGCAGCCCCTTGACAGGCAGATGCTCTCCGACGCAGCAGTGAAGCAAACCGTTCACGTTTTATGTTAGAGGTTAGGTTTTTTTTTTCTACTTAAGCTGTTTACAGTGCAGAAATTGGTTTCTCTGGCTCTCCCATGATGGGTATGTGTTGAACATTGGTGTAAATAGCGTGTTAAAAAACCACTTATTTGCTGTCTGGAAAGCCTTCACCATAGCCTGATAGCTTTTGAACACCAACTGGATAAAATCTCATGTTTTCTACATTCGTTTAGATTATTGCCTCATTTTGCAAGAAATTCAGCTATTGTTAACAATTTTTTTTGTGCAATGCACTTACATAAATGTGTTAAACAAATAAGTTAGAAATGCAGGCTTTAAAGCTTAGAATCTGACTTCCTGCAACTGTGTTTTGGTAGAATACCTAGATGTCTCTTTCGCTTTTTTCTTTCCTTTTTTTTGCATTTACACAATTTTTGAAGCTTCAGTATTGACAGCATGAAAAATATTCCCCTCTGGGCATTTTATTCTTTTTACAGACAAGGTGACACCCCAATCGTGTTTGACAATTCTCAGATATTTCTGCCAGCTCCTGCAGCATCCAAGAGGCCAACCAATAAAGTGACAAAGTAACCTGGAGAGTAACGTATCAGCGAGAAAACAAATAAATAAACCAGAAACGACAAGCAGCGGCACGTTGTTCATTCAAAGTTCTGAGGATGAAATTTTGCAGAAACTGTTGTGCTTCTATTTGTAAGTATATCCGAAAGCTGATAATGAATTATTAATAACGAATGTTGCTTTCACTCGTCTCTACCCCGTCTTCCTGCATCCCTCACTCCAACCTGCGGCATCACATATCGACCACTCTGAAATGGTGAAAATGTTTCTGCCACCAGATAAGAGGTCCCAAAGGGGGGGAAAAAGTGGAAGAAGAGGGGATAAGCGTAGGAGTAGCTGAGCTGAATATCTATTGGGAGATCAGAGCACCGGGCTAATCTGGGTTAAACGGTTGCTCAGCGAGACTCGCCAGTCGTCTGGGGTGAGGCGAATATGGCAGCATGGTTCACTGTCACCTGCAGTCTTGTGATGTAAATGTGATGTGGGATTATAAGAAACTGGGCATCAGTGGACAACACCACCAACATTTAATAATGAATAGTGCAAGCATTAATTCAAGAGCAACACGTTCTACTGAGTGACTCATTTTTATGTTTGAAATATGGATATACTCAAACCCATAATAATCTGAATTAAATCACCAGACTGATGCGATACAATAGTAATTAGGAAAACAACATGTTCTCCGAGTTGCTCTGAAAATATGTTGCTGTGTCGCAGATGTAATGAGCTACCTCAAGATGCTCTGTCTTTTTTAAAAAATTTTTTAAAATAAAACGATGACTACATCTGTGCTTTGTTCGTGTAATCACAGTGCCATTTTCCCTGCTAAAGCTTAGACCTCACATGCTGCTCACCACATGCCTCCTGCTCATGCAAGGTGTAATAGTGAAAAAGCATCAGACTGCAACGGGGGCTCTCCACAGCTCTGTGAATGCAACTAGTTGTTAGAGGTCAGCTGTTACCCAAGATGAACTACTCATTGCAAAGTACCTAAGAAACCGTTTCTGTGTCCTGTGTAACCCTGCGATAATCATTCTCCTTCTTGTGTTCGGTTGCACTTCTTAGGTTAAGATTGGGCTCAGTTACACTCGTCCACAGATTTTTCAAACAGAGAAGGAGAGATTTGTTACCCAGCTGGTGACCAGCACACAGTTGGTCACTCACTGACCAACCTCAGTACACCAACAATCAACAGTGAGAAATACAAACTACAAAATATTGCTTAAATGCATCTCTCTAAAACCAGTGAGCTGCAGAGTTATTCACTAATTCCACCCATTTACCGCAATCAACCCAGAAGCCTCTGCCTACTTTCTCCATCCCAGTCGTTTCCTTTGTTGTGTTGAGCTGTCGAGATAAAATCTTAATAAAACAGAATGACGTGTCTAAAACACAACTTATTGATTTTAGATATAATTGCTATGTTTTTTTCTTGTTCTGATTACAACAATTCTGAAATTTGATGAAATCTTTGAACAGTCATTTACTTGGTAAATCTACTACACTTTTCAGACAAAAAATCACAACTGTTGACTTCATCTACAGTATTATGTATGTATGCATTCGGCACAAATACTGCCCACCCCTATTATAACTGAAACTACAGCACTGACAGTTGCCCATCACTGCCTTTTAAGGAGATTTGTATAAATGAATAGTGATAGAAATTTTCTTGCACCTCAGCAAAGATAGTAATCCTACTGATTATGTGCTACCTAATTGCTCTTTCTGCCTGTATTAGCATTTACAAAAGGGCTCTCTAAAAAGTGCAGGGATTTTAGCAATACCTCCTCATCGACATGCTAACTGCGCTGTATAACACGCACACACACACGTACTGGTGGTTTCCTTCAGTTTTAGCAACAATACTTTGTTATTTGTGTTTTGTTGCAGGCCTCGCCCTTGATATCTGCTCCGATCTTGCTCCGTCAAAGCAGTGAATTCATCATGCAGAGGAAATCAATGATGCTGGTCCTATTATCAGATGAGATGGTTTGGATATTACCTTTATCAACTTTCACCATCTTTAACGGCACATGTGCACTGATATACCCTCGAATGTGCGCGAGTTCGCACACAGGAGTACGCGTGACTCCAAACAGCACGCCAGACTGGACAGCACCGTCTTGTTCGGGCATAATTAATGACTGTGGATGTTGGTGGGAACATATAACAAAAGTAATTAAAGGGAGTTGAAGGGTCCCAAAGCACAGAGCACTTGATTAATGATTCCTTTCAGTGCAAGAGACTCAACTAGACCAGACAAGGTGAGAGAGATAGAACGAGATAGAGAGTGGGAGAGAGCGAGAGCGGGGCGGAGAGATCAGGACGGAGTTAGAAAAGGGGGTGGGAGGTAGGTGTTATTGACCTATCCTGCACCTCTGGGGACTGCTGGGTTAATATTAAGCATGAAGCACTGATCCACTAAGCTCAGCTCTCTGGCTTTACAGCAGTATTAATTAATGGCATATGCTAGATATCATTTACCTGAATGCAAATGTGATTGCATTCTTGGGAGCTGTGTGTTAATATGGATCCATGTGGGACTTAATATCCTCTGTTCACTCCTCTTCATACATTTTAAATCACTAAAGTGTATCCTTTCGTGAAAGTGAAGATAGATGTTCCTGCTTCTGTGCCTGTATTGCTGGAACATTCGGATAATTCTTTCACCGCAGCCTCCTGGGCACACAAAAGACTGTCTCCTACAAACACTAAAAGCCACATCCTGTTAGTGGAGGCAGAAATCAAGACTCCACACAGTAATGACGAAGTGAAGAACTGCTGACCTCAGCAAGCAATTAGGTGCTGACTGTCTGTCGGGTGGAAATGCGGGGTTTTGTGTGTACGAGACAACTCACGAGAAGGGAGACAAATGGTGAGAGAGCGGGAGAGACGAAAAAAGGTTGTGTGCAGGGAAAATGGCTCCCCGGCCCACCACTAATCCATTTCTCTCACCCATAATTGGATTTTAAAAATACATGGAGCGGCCCTTTATATGTGGTGCCAGGTTGACTGCAGGTAACTTCTACTCCTCCGTTTTGTGGTATCTTTCTCTCTCCGTTCCGTGCTCCATCTGCGCACCATCGCAGTTTTATCTCGTCCTTACTCTCGTCTCCTACTGTTTCACTTTCAGTTGGCCTCCTACTCACACATGCCCTCTCCATCTTTTATCTTTCTTTGCTGCTTCTTTATGCTGGAAGCCAAAACAAGGAAAGCAAAATGTCAATTGCCGTTATCACATGCAGGGGTCAGACAAATGCCAGTTTAGTGGACCAGAAAAAATGATAGTGGGACAGAGGGTAGTGACTGCAAGCTGTTTTTAAGGAGCTGGAGAGGACAAGGCAAAAGTTAGACTTTCAGTCTTGCTTGTTTCTGAGGCAACAACATGAAAGTCCTCTGAAGATAATGTGGCTTCATATTGCTGTGCTCTGCAGGAATGTGTAGCTAAGTTTCTTTTCTTCTTCTTCTTTTGTTTTGTTTTTTCAAATGCACTGTGGTACTTTAAATTCCTGTTTTGGGCATTTCTTTATGTTTTGTTGCCACGGTCTCATAACTGTCATGGCCTAGTTTTCCAAGTTGTTGAATGTTTGTAACAATGCCAAAAGCCATTAGCACAATTCTTTAACAGCTCAAAAATAACCCCTCTTCCTCTCTCTTCTTCTTTTCATGTTTAATCACCTCTTAACCACTCAGCGAGTCTCTGAGTGCATTCAAACAGTAATAATAAGCTGCTGAAACAGGCTTTGACTGGAAATCGGTGCTCGGATGAACAGATTTTTATGTTTCTGTGGGGTAATTAGTACACGTATGCCAATGACAAGCTTTCAATTTTACATGCACCTCTACTACTGTACTACATGTGCTTTTCATTATTGCTGATGTGCAGGGTAATGGAGCATTACAGGTGATGCTGGTGCCGGCTTGTGAGTATGCATGTTGTGCATTCGACTGCACAGCAACATACAAACTCTAATGTGTTTGACATTTTGTGCACTTTGAGCCTGTTCTACCTGGAAGGGGATGCGTGATTACAGGGACAGCAAGCGTGTTTTAAGTGTGTATGTGGGTGTTAGTGTGCATCCCTGTGTATCTGCAACTGTGTGATTTTAACAGGCCAAATGACTTGCAGTAAGACATGTATACCTTATTACCAGCAATGATTAATCTATAAACACAGCCATTAAACTCACAGACAGGCACGCACACACTCCACTACACACAGATAAAGCAACACATATATAAAACAATGAAAAGCGAAGATACTCAATCTCAAAGGCACAACGCACACACACACACAACAATGCAGATCGACTAACTTGTGTTTCTTGAGTGAGAGCCCCATGTGTTGCTTCATCTGCTGCAGGCCATGGTAGTCTGTGTAGATGAGGTCAAAGGGCAATGGACCAGTGAGTGGGCAACTGCCTCTGCCTGGGGGCACGCCGAGGAACCTGCAACACAAACACAAAATACTCACTTTATACAAGCAGAAAAAATGACAGACAGCCAAGACATGAGATTTACACTAAAAAACTTCCCCAAGAGCGCAGGGGTTGAACTTAAGCTTGGATTCATGCATTCATTATTAACTCACACAAAACCATTTCACTTTGCTTTCGTTATACAATAAAAAGTGTAAGGCGAAGATAGTTTTAAAATGGACAAAAGCTGGGTGACTACAATGATGACTGCAGAACCATGTCTATGCTTGTCCGGGAAAGACATTCTCTTATCAGAGTTCACAATCTAATTCCCCGGAGTAACGCAAAAACAAATCTTCGATGAAAGCTGAATTTAAAGGTGTGTTTATTGATCAGATAGTACATTACAGGTGATGCTGGGTTCAATCAAAATTATGCAAGTGGGCACTGGGATGTTTTTTGTTTTTTTGGCAAAGCATAATTCAAAACAAATAGGATGAAAAGCTGAATCTGTAATGACCTGGCTGAACTGTCCACAGAAGCACCATCAGCAATAACAACAGATGGTCAATGGTGATGATGTGTTGAGATTGTGTTGAGAATGCCAGGTTATGCTATACAATAAGCACTTATGTGTGCATGAACAATGATTGCTGTGGTGAAATCCAAACGTCAGCATGTCTGTCTGTTGATACATACACTCCTACTAGTTCCAAAAAGTCTATTTCAATTACAAGACGACCTTCAAGGCACAAGCACAGGCACAAGCAGGAGCACACACAGCACAAACCAAAGGAGAAAAGATGGGTTTTTTTGCTGTTCACTGTAGTGTGACTTGTTTTCCATCCTTGTTTGACTCTGTTTCAACTCATTGATTGACTTAGAACCTCTCTGCTACTGTGCCAACAGACCTACTATTGGATATTTGACCTGTGAATGGTCTGCTTGCTCTAACTTAGGTCTTACTTCTGTGACAGATGAGGCCGAAAGCTAATGGAGGCTGTAATACAATTTGTACCCCCAGTGAATTTCATCTTGCTGTGCTAGTTTTACATCGGAGTCTCTCTGGCTACAGTACTTATCCAAAGGGTAATTTTATACTGTTGCAAAGCATGGCTTTCAGGAGCTTTGCTGGCAGCTGCTAACTAAAATCAGAGGAGGGTGAAAACATACAGATAAAGAAGCTTGATGCAGTGACTGAATTAAAAGACAGTAAAGCAGAGAATGCAGCATGTGGCTGTTTCATACAGTATTGGAAAGGGTTGGAAGTGTTTAGTCTTTCATTTTGCAAATGAGAATCACATTATTCATCCATCCATTGATTCATCCACTGCTTACTGGGGTCTGATTCACAGGGGCAGCAGTCTAAGTGGGGCTTGGGGGACTTACAGAAGGATAGAGGTGGGGTAGGGAGATATTTAAAAGTCAAATAATGTCGAAAAGAAGTTCATATAAAAAAAAGAGAAATATTTAAATTCTTGTAACTGAAATTCAGTTTCTTTTAGAAGAATAGACCTCACCACTGAAAAGTGATGGTAATAACACCATAATAACCACAACGTAACAATATATGGCGACTTCCTTACAAAGCCACCGTGTTCTGGGTTCCATCATATGTTCAGCAATTGTATTACTCATGCACATGAGCAATACAACTGGGGTGCCTGGCATTTATCAATCCCAAAATATTTATCAATAAAGAGCAAACCTCTTTCCAAAGGATATCCTAAAACGTCAATGGGCTTTTTAGTCACATTCCAATATGTGAATAAAGAGCCAATAAGCCTGTTCATCTGTTAATCGGGCACAGGGATAAAAGCTGAAGTGGCACCATTCTGCAGTATTTTGATCTAGGAAATCATAATTTTCAGGTATTCTGCGCCAGAACACCACCTGAATGTAACCATATTCAGCACAGGTGTGCGGATGTTAACTTGAAAGGAATGAAGGCCGGTGGTGCCGGCGCTGCTTACATTGGCCATATTCTGCAAATTAATTTTACACTGTGTGCATACAGTGTCATGCGATGTTATGATTTGATGATCAAAGAATGTGATTAAAGTTTTCAAAATGGTCTTCAATGAACAATGTTTAACTCCGATCTATTTAACTAGGATTCATTGTGTTTTTTTTCCTCCTGTTTAATTGAGTACCAAAATATTCAATAGTCATTTTCTTTTCTTTTTTTTTTCCACCATTGTTTTTGCTGTTGTTGAACTTGTCCACTTCTGGTTAGGGAGATTACATTTTTGGTATCATTTGTGTGTGCATGCACGCTTTATAGGGGGTGTAGGGTGGGGGTCATGTTTACTATCCATTAAGATTTGACTTGCATCCACAAAGATCTTCAGGGTCAATTTAATGATTAATGGTTGAATACAATCAAAAAAGCCTTATAACCCATAAGTGTGCTTTGAATTGTCAACATATGCAAAGTACTGTATAAAGATTTCTATGATCTCTTGATCTGAAGGTCAAAGTAATAATAACTGTATACTGAGCTATTTTCAAACTATGTTTCTTACTTCCATTGTTTGCATTGACACCATAAAGGCATATAGGGAATGAAACATGCAGACTCTAAATATCACACTACTCTTTACCACTGACCTCTTCTTTAAGGTCAAACAAGGTCAAACTTTCAAAAACTGTATTTTAAAATTACCACTTACTTTGGTTTAACAGCTTACATCCATTTATTACATTATATATATCATAATATATGTGAGAAAGTGCACAATGAGGGAGGTGAGAAAGGGTGTACATTACCGTAGTAACACAACTGAAATTCATATGAATAAAATTCAAGCAAAAGGAAAGAGACAGAAAATAAGGTGACGTGGGGTTGGGTGGGGCAGTGGGGGGTGGATTGTAATCCACCAGCTGAGAAAACAGCAGTATGGTAGAATACAATCAGCTCCTTGGCTCCTCATTTCCCAGCAGCCTGTTTCTTTTATTCTTTCCCTCTAATCCCTCTCCTTTGGCAGCTGTTCAACCATAGCATATTGGCCAAGAGAGAAAATGATTTAGCTGTTCTTGAAATGGTATTTTTTAAATATATCTTTTGTTAGGAAACACTGAAGGACATTTCCACTGGTGATACCACAATGAATACCTGACCGAACGGTTGGTATATTTTTCTGAAACTCAGATGAACCAGGTGTCCGTTACATTTGCCCTTTCAGCACCGCTATCAACGCCATAAACTGTATGGTGCAACTCAATATCACTCAAGTACATGTGAATGTACTGCTTTTTTATGGAGCAACAGTGTTTAATACAGAGAACGTGAGGCTTGTGACAAAAATATTCAGGGGTGAAATAGCAATACACGTTGGGCCATTAGTTCAGTAAACTAAAATACCACAGCGCGTTGTTGTATGTGTAGTTGTTCTAAACTAAATGCTGTGCATTGTAGTTTAGTGTTGAATTTTTTCAGATTTAATACTAAACCACAATGCATCATTCAGATTCTTATAACTGTGGTGATTCTTCCTCAGGCTGAGATTGAGGAGATGTATTCATGATGTAAAGTGCTCACACAGGGATCACAACTCCTGCTCCTTTACACGTACACTATTCAGAGGTCAAGCATATGCATTGTCTGGACCTTCACACACATCAGGATGCCCAAAGGGAATTCAGTTATTAAAGACACATTTTTTTTAAAAGAAAGACCAGCAAGTTAGTGCAAATGTAATTAAGCAACTAGTCCAACTATTCGTACTTAACTTCTCTCTTACACTGGACTATAGTGTTAAAGCGGTAAAATTGCATGCACACACATGGGAGCCTCCACACACACAGCCGCACACATAGAGGATGGCAGCGATCCCAGACACTATTCCAGTGCCATACAGGGCTTCACTGGAGTCCAATTACCCAGGGTCCTCTTGTCTCCTGGCTGGCATCAAGTCAACAAGCTCTTTGAATGAAGATATATACACACACACAAACACATGCGCACACACACATGCACTGAAATGACTGCGAGAGGATATTTAACTAAGAACGTTTCCATAGCAATATCTGTTTGTGACTCTGTACAGTTTTTTTTATATTAATAAAATAAAATAAAGGCATCCTAATGAAAAATTGTCTGGCATTGTCAAAGCAATTGAAAAAATGGAAATACATCTGCACTGAAGGGATTCTTACGTCAGGGGAGCTCAGAGGGTCTATCGTCTCCTGTGAAGATCTACCTGTGATGAAGCTTTTTTTATACCTCCAAATAAAACGTTTTCATCAAAGCTGAGTGACTCTGGCATGTTACTGTTGACACTTATTATGCACTGGTCTATACTTTCTTAATGGCAGAACATTATAACTGAAAACAATCTCCTCCTGAATACGCTCATGAATGTTTACTGTAAATTAAATTGTAAGTACACAACCTTATATTTCTGTACACATGTTTTAGCAATTTTTATGCTACTAGTTATGTTTTCCTGTGTATGGGGTTATATACTGTAGTTACTTCATTCAGTACCAAAAGCCTGTATTGATTTCCTAAGGAGCATTTTGGTAGGGTGTTATTAGAGCACAAAAAGCACACAATGAGCAATAACACACAGTGTATTGCTTGTGAAGAGCTGAAATCTTTGCCCATAGGTCTATTACTGCATTCTGTACTGTATGTGTTTGTGTGTCTTTGTAAGGAGATGCAGTCTGCCAATCCTACTCAATGGTTTGTGGTAACTGCAGAAACTGCCACAAAGCTTATTGTCTGTCTTTCTGTTCAGTTCTGTGAACAGCATGTGTAAGTGCGTGTCGGTACTGAACGCTGAGCTATAGTCAGGTTTCGATCCCAGTGTAGTGTTGCAAAAGAAGGCTGTAAGATGATGCGACAAGATGACAATAATTAAAAAGTCAAGCAGTCAAATGTTTAATTCTTCATAGAGCTGCAATGAACACAAGGTAGAAAAAACTGAAATATTTTTCATTCGATAATCTACGTTGATTTGTACAGAGCCCCTCTGATGACATGGTCCAAAAAATAAATAAATTGTTGCCACAAAATACTACTTCGT